CCTTAGGGTACACCCTAAGGGAAGGTGGGGCTGTCACAAGAAGCTTGTGCCTTGCATTTGGTCTTCTGCATTGACTTGCAATATTATTACAAGAAGCGAAATGCGCTACAAATTTTGGCCCATGAAATAGCATTATGATATGTAGTATGATTTGGGAAAGGCGAGTGCACTTGTCTGTTTGGGGTTTACCATAGTGATCCTGTATTGAAGATAATTCTCTGCTATCATATATATATATATATATATATATATATATATATAATGCTAGCAAACAATGTAAAAGTTTGTTTTGGCTACCTTAAAAAAAATTTAACACCAACAGTAAAATCAAATAAATTATTGATTATCATAACATTATAATTCAAAATGAATAACATTTTCTTTATTGTTTATTATTTCTTTGGTAAAAATATATAATTAATTAAGAAGTATTTGATACCGATATATATTATGCGAGTAATAAATTTATGAATCATTACTTTAGATAAATGTGTCAGCATAATAGATTTAAGTATAAATATAAGGTTGACTATTCAAAATCCAATCTTATTTATTTTGTATAGATTTTGGAAATTATTTCAGCTTTCAATGAAAATAAAATACAAAATTTATACTTTTGTAGAAGTGTGGTGGTAAGAAAGATCTATATAATGTATTTTACACAATTAAAATGAAATGCTTAATCTAAGAAATATCATTTCAGATTAAACATATTTAATCAGAAAAGAAATTTTAAGGTTTCTATTCATTTGGCATTTTTGCTTTTTTTTTAAATAATTGTGATATTTTGAGTCAACTTTGAACCATTGGATGTGTAATGTTTAATTGCTCTCTTTTCTGTAACTGTTTGATAGTTCAATGGTGAAACAATCCACTAACTCACTTTGTTCAAATTGAGTGTTGTTGAGAGTGTGACGACCCCACCTTCCCTGAAGGTGAACCAAAAGGGTTAGTGGGCTGTCTGCCCAACTCTCGTCAAGACTCATGGACAACTTATTAACAATCTTTTAAAACAAAAACCACATCTCCAATGACAATATAAAACAATCCTTAGCCAAGCATGAGTTTATAGATGATACAAACTTCAAAATACCCTACTACGTCTATTTACAACGGTCGAGTTCCCAACATACAAAACAACCTAAAAGTTGATACAGCTGTGCAAAATAAAAGATTTCGACCTAACTCGGTCTCTCCTAGTCACTCGCCCAAGCGCTCGCCCCTGTAAGGAAAACAAAACTAAAAGGGGTGAGCTTTCGCCCCATGAGGTTCCAAGAAAATTGTGCAAGCAATGATATCAAACTTAAGCCACAAAAAATCATAATTCATTACAACAAGGAGCAAGTATACTTCAATTATGGTTTCACGTATTCAATTAAAAGGATACGGGACTCTCATGAGTTTATTCCAGTAGCTTGATCAAGATTCAAGATGTCGTTGATACTCCGTCAATATATTCCAAGATACTATCAAGTATATCACGACTTCACGCTTTTTCCCATCCACTGTACAACCCCTTACCGGACCCGCACGCCAAAATTAGGAAGGGGTAATACTCGATTATACCAGTTCAAGTTCAAGAGCTCAAGTGCACGTGCACGTTCAAGTTCAAGTAACAAGACCCCTGATTCATTGATCGTCTCGACCAATCCCTTGCCAACTCAACTTGACCAACTAACCAATGGGGGTTGAGGCACCAAGCATGTAAGAAAGTCGATGGGATGAACACCCAAGCGACTAGCAAGTCAAGTACGAGCAAAGCAATTCATCTCATATCAATATCAAGCCACAAAAGAGCGAGTATGATAAAGTACATCCTCATCCCAAAATTAACAGTTCAATAGCAATAAAAACAAGTATTTCAAGTAAGAGACATTGCACGTAAGCACTTTACATGCACTTAGAACACTCACGACGACACAAGTTCAAGTGTTCGTCTCGTGTGCACTTCCAACCCCACTTAACCCATTCATGTGATTATTCAATAAGAGCAATTGATGATAGCATTTTTAGCGATCATCAGCACCCTCCTATAGACATGAAGAATGATAGTTCTGTTTCCAAACCAGAACAACTAACTTCATTGCCTGATGAATATGTGTGTTTTTATCTAGGCAAAAAAATCTATAGGTGGAAAGCTTATTTGAGGTGGAAATCAAAAAAATTTCGCTCATATAATACTTAGTGTGAGAAGCAAAAAAAAAATACAGCATTAATCCATTCTTCATCACAAAAAAGTAGACAATTTGCTCTGCTAAGTGGTACAATTACTAGAGAGCACAATCTTATGCACAGAATCTATTCAATGTGACTCTACTACAAAATTGAGTAGAGATACACTTATAACCCAGCCATTTACTTCCATTAGTAGTATTTCTGTGCTTATGGATGGACACTTAGGTAGTGTCCTCTACTTTCAAGGAAATTGTTCTTTAGTTTCCATAGATTCTTATGATAACTATATCTGAACTTCTACATTTGAGTTTTAGTAGTTAGCAATGAACCTGTTGGTGAATCAGCTAATCGGCTAATCAAAGAATTCCTGGTCAAAATAAAAGAAAATGTTTAGGTTAGGTTTGGTCTTTTTTATTAGTTTAAATTCAATGCTATTAATAAGCATATAAATTTTTGGTTGTTTCAGCTATTATTTTCTGTTTTCTCTTAGGAAGGATTGCTAGGAAAGAAAAAGAATTATTGGATTTAATAGCTGATACTCCTGACACTTTGCCAAAGCAGAAAGATTGTCTACACTGTGGTGCTAAAAAATTTTTCTCTGAAATAGCAAACTTTTGTTGTTCTAATGGTGATATTGTATTTGCATACAATAGACTTCCTGATATTCTAAGAAGGCTATTGACTCTATCTTTAGAAGAAGCAAAAGCATTCAGGGAGCTCATTAGGACTTACAACAATCAATTTGGGTTTACATCTTTTGGTGTTAAATGTGATAAGAATCCATGTAGACAAAACAATAAGTTTATATGTTTAGAATTCAAGGACAAGTGTATCATATTTTAAATGACTTGATACCAAGAAATGGTTCAGACACAAACATGCAACTATATTTTCATGATATTTAGAATCAGGCATCTAATTGTCTTGCAGCCTATCTTAGATTGTCTAAAAGTGTAATATAGAAAATATGACTATTCTCGAGCATAATCTATACGCTCGATTCTTTAGGAGCCTATATCACGTTCCTAACTTAGCTACAAAACAATGTTGCGTACACTTCCTAGTGTAGACTAGAGAGTATACAACAACTCAACAAAATCATAGGTTGCAGCATTATGGGTAGAAGGAGAAGAAAATGGTGAGAATAGCCGTCATAACATACAAGTGTATACTCATGGTGGGCATCCACGCAATATTGAGTATTATTACAGCTGCTATAATCCATTATAGTACTATTTAATATTTCCATTTAGAGAGCTTGGTTAGCATCAAGGAATTCCAAAGAAGGAATAAAAGGAAGAAACACAAAAGAAAGAAGGAAAAAAGAATCAACTGAAATGATTGCACCAACGAATGCATTAAGTGCTAATGAATTGCTTCACAATGAAGAAATTAATCAGTTAGAAACAAAATTTTAGTTTATGTAGTATTAGGAGTACACAATTTATAGTTATTCTAAAAATGATATGCTACCACTTTACAGTAATACATAGAATGGAAGAGGATCCAGCTTTTGTTTCATTGAGGGAATATTACGCGTACAAGCTTTAGATCAGAGATTCAGATGAATCTCTTCTTCTACATTTTTCTCAATTATTTTAGCAATATGTAGTTGATGGTTATTTGAAGATCGAGAAACAGAGACTTGACTTTTTCAGGTCACAACAAGAAGAAATCAGGAGAGAATTTTTCAATGGCACAATTGATGCAGTGGCTACTAGAGAAACTTGAGGGTCAAATATTGGCCAGTGAATTATATTGCCACCAAGTTTCATAAGAGGTCCTAGAAATATGCATCGCAAATACATGGATGCAATGGTTGTGGTTCAAAAATTCACAATGCCTGATCTTTTTTTGACAATGACCCGTAATCCTAATTGGCCAAAAATAAATGTGCATCTGATTCCCACAAATGAAACACAAAATTGGCCAAATTTAATTTCGAGCGTCTTTCATGCTAAGTTAGAAAAGTTGAAAGATGAACTTTAAAAAAAACATATTTTTGGTGAGATTGTTGCTTTTGAATAGGTATGCCTCATGTGTATTTCCTTTTGATTTTAAAATCTAAGCACAAACTATATACTCCAAATTAATATGACAAAACAGTTTGTGTTGAGACACCTAACAAGCAAAAATTTTCACACATATAAAAAATGGTGCTCAAGCATATGTTCCATGGTCCTTGTGGTTCAGCAGTTCCACAAAATGCTTGCATGAAGAGAAATGGAATCTGTAAAAACTCTTGTCCAAAAGAGTTCTGTGAGGCAACTATTCAAACAATTGATGCATATCTAAAATATAGACGAAGAGATAACGACATTAAGATTAAAGTGAGAAATGCATGGCTCGATAAGTGTTGGATTGTCCCTTACAACCAATATCTACTTGCAAAAATTGACTGCCAAATCAATGTTGAGATATGCTCAACAGTGAAGGCAATCAAATATATTTACAAGTACATTTTTAAGGGATATGACAGAATCAGTTTTCAAGTTATTGCTGACAGTCCAGATTGTGAAATTAATGAAATCAAACAGTATGTATCACCAAGATGGATATCTCCTCCAGAGGCTACTTGGAGAATCTATAGATTTTCAACTAATGAAATAAAACCAGCCATTATCCACTTACAATTGCATCTGAAAACCAACAACCAATGAACTTCAAGAAGAATACTAATTTGTTTAATATTCTATATAATAATCAATTGAGAAGAACAATGTTAACTAAATTTTTTACATGAGTAGAACAAAGAGGAAGCTTAGGATCTAAATTGCACCTATGTGCAATTTTTAGAATATTTTGTTTGGAAACCAAGCAAAAGAATGTGGAAAATTGGTGAACAAAGAGATTCTATAGATAGAATAGTTGCTGCACATCCTGGTGAAGATGAAAAATACTATTTGAGACTCTTGTTGACAAAAGTTAAATGTCCAACCACATTTGCTGACTTGAGAACTTTTGGTGGAGTTCAAGTACAGACTTTCCATGAAACAGCACTGCTAGGGGATTATTGGAGCATGATGATGGCTAGAAACTTTATTTGTAAGAAGCTTCTCACTTTCATATGCCATATGAAATGAGCAGATTATTTGCAAGCCTGCTGGTTTATTCATGCCCCAACAATCCAATAGCATTCTGGACTAAATTTGAAAATGTTATGTCTAAGAATTTCTTAGATATAAAACATTAACAGGTAGTCAAGTTAGGACAAAAGTACTTGACCAAATAAATGGTTTCTTACAATCTATGGGGAAAAACATTTCTTTATTCAATTTGTGTCCCCGTGATTTTTCAATAGATGATATGGAAAGTCAAAAAAGAGCATTAAATGCAGAAAGAAACATAGTTTTTACATCAGATGATCTAGATGCTTGTGCTTTCTTGAATCAAAAGCAAAAAGAAGCATTTAATCTCATTTCTGAGAGAGTTTACAGCAATAAAAGTGGTGCTTTTTTCATTGATGGTTCGAAAGATATTGGAAAAACCTTTTTATACCATGCATTACTGGTAGATATTAGGTCAAAAGGTTATATTGTATTACCCATTGCTACATCCAGCATAGCAGCTTCAATTCTTTGTGGAGGAAGAATAGCTCACGCACGATTCAAAATTTCAATAGATATTTCTGATCGATCAACTCGTCGTGTGAGTAAGCAAAACTCTTTAGCAACTTTGATAAGAGAATCAAAGTTGATCATTTGGGATGAAACTCCTATATCTAAACAAGCAAGTATTGAAGGATTGGATGATTTGCTTAAAAACATCATGAATTCAAGTGAAATTTTGGGTGAAAAGGTAGTGGTTCTTGGAGGAGATTTCAGGCAAATGCTACCAATTGTTTGCAGTGGAACTAAGGTTGAAACTATTAATGCTTGCTTGATTAATTCTCCTTTTTGCCACAGTTGCAAAAGTTATAGTTAACTGAAAATATGAGAGCAAAATTAGATCCATTGTTTACTCAATTTCTATTGAAAATAAGAGATGGTTTAGAACAAACAGATTGTGTTGATTCAGTTGTTATATCATCTTCCATTTTGATCAAGTATACTAGTGAAACTGATGCACTTTAAAGACTAATAGATGCTGTCTATCCTGATATTAATAGTTTGACAGCCCCACCTCACCCTAAGGCGAACCAAAGAGTTCGGCGGACCGCCTGCCCAACTCTCACCAGGACTACGGAGCCGAATCACACAAACCCGATATAGCGCACAAACGAATCCCCAAGAGAACCCTCAATCGAAGACTACTAAGTTGAGAAACATGAGTTCTACACCAAAAGGTACCATGGTACTTTGATTAAATGCTTCAACGGAAATGAAAATGAAGACGAAAATGCAAATGGAAAGCAGACACATCACAATCCGGCTAAGATATGGTTGGATTTCTGGCCGAATCGCTGGCCGAATATGAGGCAGTGAGTAACCCAAAAATTTTTCAAAAACCCCTGCTAATCCGGCCAGATATCGGGCTAAGAACTGGCCAGATACACGGCCGGATTTGGTGAACAGTTCCCGCCAGAAATTTCTTTCCTTGTTCAAATGCTGCGCTCGTCCGATCGTCCAATGGTTACAAGTAGCATCTGAACAAACACAAATGTACCATCTCAAATGAATACACTTAATGTACATGATAAAACACTTATATACATACATTGAAAACTTTACAATTAAAAGCGTGATACTTAATTAAAAGACAATTAGGGTTTTGATTACAGAAGAACTAACAAAAGGGCATTTACACTAGCTCAACCCTTTTCTCAAAATCACGGTTCAAAGTGTAGTTCCCTGTAAGGAAAACAAAGATAATGGGAAGGGGGTGAGCTTACGCTCAATGAAGTACCAAAATAATAGCAATTAAGAATCATGGAACTTCATATTCAATTAGTCACATATGCAAATCAAATAAAGAAATGAACAAACACCTTAGATAGAAAGGATACGGGTGGCTCTCAGGAGCCCAAAATTTCCTGTTGCAGTACTTGATCCAAACCCGTTAACTCTCCGTCAATGTATGAAGAACAACCATATCCATAGACCCCCACTTTACACCAAATTCTATCCACCAACCTTACCCCTTACCGGGCCTGAACACCTCAATAGAAACAAAAGTGGTAATACTCGAGTATACCGGAAATCCAGAGTCTCCAATACCCAAAGATTTCCTAGAACAACTACTGTGGTTCGCTATCTAATTGACCAGGCCCTTCCCGGCTCGACTCAAGTAATTTAGCCACAGGATTTGAGCTCAAAGGTCACAAAAAGCTCGTTGACTACAAGCTTCCAAATGACGTTAGAACAGATACAGATATAGATAATAGATTCAAATTCGCATAGTAAATAGGCATACAGACAGATAAAAGAATGAGTGTGATGAAGCACACCCTCGTCTCAAACAAAATAAACAGATAATGTAGACACCAAATTTTTGTTTTTAACTTTATTTGCTTAATTAATTTAATTTTAACTTTATTTGTTTCGATTTTAGGGTTTTCATTTCATTTTATTTTATTATTTTTATTTATTTTATTTATTGTTCTAGTTTATTTTTGTCTTCATAATTAAATTCCAGAAAAAAAAACAAAAAGGAAAGAAAAGGTAAAAATGACAAGTGGAATCTTGCATGTGGGACAAATGTCCTCATTCTAGTTGGACAACAAAGGGGTTAGGTGTTACACATTTGGGGAGCCAAAGGGAAAATGAAAAAAAATTAGGAGAAAGGCCGAGAGAGGGGGTGCGGATGAAAAGATAGAGAGGTTGAAGCTACGGGGAGGCTACGGGTGCAAGGGGAGAAAAAAGAGGTTACGGGCAAAACAAAAAGAAGAAAAATTGGAGCGAGGCTACGGGAGAAACAAAAAAAAAATGAAAAAACAGAGAGGGAGACGGAAGCAAGAAATTTGGGGTGGAGCCAGAGGAAAAAAAAGCGAGCCGTGACGGAGGAAGTTTTGGGGGAGGCTGACGGAAAAGAAACAGAGGAAAAAGAAAGGCAACAGGGGGCTGCGGGAAAAGGAAAAAAGAAGAGTAAAAACGCAAGAGAGGTCTGGGAGCCTGGCGAGAAGAGAAATCTGGGGAAAGGAGAGGGAACTTCCGTGAGAGCAAAACAGGGGGGGCCGATTGGAAGAAAAGGGACGGAAAAAAGAAACGCGAGAGAGGTCGGCGGAGGCTTCGGCCAAAAAGAACAGAGTAGGAAAAACAGATGGAGGTTGACTGGAAGAATTGGGAAAAAGAAAGGAGGCAGCCGAGAGAAGAAAAGAGGGATTGAGAGCTGGGCAGAGGGGGTGACGGCTAGGAAAACAAGGAAACGGAAAATTCTATGACGGCGGCTAGGTTTTTGGGGGCTAGAGGAAAAAACAAGAAATGAGACAAGAGTTGCGGCGGGAGCTTGAGGAAAATCAGAGGAAAAAACAGAGCAAAGAGAGGAAGGAAAGGGGCGGCGGCTGACGGAGGAGCGGAACAGCAAAGCAGAAACAGAAAAAACGAACGAAGTAGAAAAAAAAGAGAAACAAAGGAGGAGCTACGGAGGAACTGGAAAACAGAGGAGGAAGAAAAGAAGCTTGGATGAAGGAAATTGACGGCGGTCAAGAGAAAGAGAAGAAAGAGCATCGGCGCATCTCTTCTGCCACTGCTGTTCGTTTTTGCATTCACCGCCACTGAAGCCGCCGCCGCTCGAAGGAGGCCGCCATCATCTCCCTGGAATCCACCATCGCCTGTAAATCTTCATTGAGGAAGCGTTGTAAGTCATCCTCTTCATTTAGAGTTTCATTTTCTGTTCAAGTTTAGGCCCTTAAGATTCTCAGAACCAGGAATTGTGTATTGCAAATTGCCTACTGATTGTCCACAATTTTGAACATACATGTTCTACGTGCGTGATTGGACTAAATTTCCTTGGTTTTTGACAAATTTTTGGGGCTAGTCACACTTCAATTCGAACAAAAAACCTGGTGAAATTTTAATGCCTATTTCCCGTTCAATGAAGTGCTTGTTTGAAAATTTAATTGAAAGGTAGTTTATCTGCATTGGCGAGTGGGGGAAAACAAATGGTCAGTCAAGTTCCATGCTGTCCGAGTAATTGTTTCTCATGAAAAAGTAAAGTTCGAAGAGTTTCGTTTTCTTAGATTTCCTTTTGCATGAATCTGATTTAAAGGCATGAATCTTGTGACATTTTGTTTGGCTCCTGGGCTTTTATCATGATTGCTGTCTTAATGTCTCGCTGGTTGCTGTTTGTTGGGTTGACGAAATTCTAATTGTTAGATTTTAGCGATAAGAGGTGTAAGTCTCACATTCCGCCAGCTTGGGGGTTGGTTGGTATGATTTAAAAATTTGTTCATGAAGGCATGCGAGAACCTAGTAGAAGCAATAAAAGATGTTTTCCTGTCTTTGAAAATCTGTTTGGGATGGGGGACGTTGAATCTTTGTTCTCGTGTCATTGCCTGATCTTTGTTGAGTTGCGTTTGTGGGATTAGTCGACAGGTTTGCAGGATTCATTTGAGTTAATATTCATGGCTGTTTTCCCGTGTATATGGAAGCCGAAAATTGCTCAAAGTCAACCCATGAATGCATTCGAATTTGCTAGTTTTCTCAACTTAGGTTTCCGCTGTTTGCATGTTAACCTTGTGCTTGAAAAAGGGTGTAGGGAATTTGAAGCTCTGTTTCATATTTCCGTAAGCTGCCTGGGTTACTAAATGGTTCTTTGTAAGGGATTAAAGTGTTTTCTTTCTCCTTACTTGTGTTTTCTTTTGCTTCACACGTTCCTGTTTTGAAAGATTTGTTGGCCGAAGTTGGGTAGTTTAGTTCGTATTCTTGATGCTAGTTCATGTTTAATTCATGCAAGAGGGATGGGTAGTTCAGTTTAGTTTAGTTTGGTTCATGTTCTTGTGATTATTCGAAGGAAGTTGCATGAAGTTATAAAGGTTTACAGCTGCAAAGTTGCAGCAAAGAGTAATAAGGCTATCGAATCATTGTTTGCATTTCCAGAATTTGCATAACCTCATTTTAAGTTGTTAGCTTGTTGAATTGTGTAATTGTTTTGGGTTTAATGTCGAGGCTTTGACTGATTGGCTGAGATGTTAGTGACATTAGGATTTCACTTGAGAAGCTCAGTATATTGCAGAAACAAAGAAAGCTTGATTCGGTGGTTTGCCTAAAACATTTGCATGTTCTTGCATGAGAATCTTTCAATAATTGCACTTTGGCCCCTAAATTTCCTTTTGTTTCGCTGTGGGTCAAAATCTGGGAAAATTGAGCTAATTTTACCCTTTTAAGTTTAATCCTCTGTTTGCATATTTTATGTGATTTCTTGGATAGATTAATTCTTGTTTGTAGGTTATAATTGCGGTTTAACAATTTTATTTGATTTTATCATGTTGGGTTTAATGAAACAAGTGATGTTGGCTAGGAGTTTTTTTGTTGTTTGAGTTTATCCCGCCAGTAAGTATTTGATTTTCATAGCCACTGGAGCGTGAAGTGAGTCCCGCCAGTGAGCATTTCATTTATTCCACTGCTAGCCGTGGGTCAGTCCCACTAGCGTGAGTCCCATGATTTTAATTTCTGTTCGGGTCAGTCCCGTTTAAATTCCTGTTCGGGTCAGTCCCGTTTAAATTTCTGTTCGGGTCAGTCCCGTTTAAATTCCTGTTCGGTTCAGTCCCGTTTAAATTCTGTTCGGGTAGTCCCGTTTAAATTCTGTTCGGGTCAGTCCTGTTTTAAATTCCTGTTTAGGTCAATTCCATTTCAACATTTTGATAAAGAGGTCAGTCCTCGTTTCAAGGGCGGCTATCGTTGGAATCATTCGCAGCCGATTAACACAGGTAAGTATTTGGTGTCTACTTCTTTGTCTCAAGTTTTTTCAAAACTCAGACAAAGAGGGGCAAATTGTAGACACCAAATTTTTGTTTTTAACTTTATTTGCTTAATTAATTTAATTTT